CAATAGATGCATGCATGATTGTGTGCTCATATTCCTCTTAAATATTAAAAAATTGGTAATTAAATCGTGAATATTTTATAGCATCTATAACAATAATCAGAATTAAAAAAATATATACTTTTATGATAATCTGGTTTTTTCTGCTAAATATTAAAATTAGAGGATGATTACATGGATAGGTTAGTGAGAAAGAAAATGAATTTGAAGGAGGTATCTATTAGGCACATTCAGTGTCCCATCTTCTTTATTAGGTATTGTTTATCCAAACAAATAAAACCTAACTTTGCTCCTCAATTGGATCATGTCATGACCCACCCCATTATCCAAACCCTGAAATCATTGGCTTAAAGGAAAAAGGAAAAGAAAAAGATGCCTTATTTATTTACTTACTTATTAATTCATATTTTCAGATAATTAAACATGAATTTCCCAAATTTATCTAACTTTTTTTATCTATAAAATATAGAAATGGGTTACTTGTATATTCCTAAATAAATTACTATTTTTGTTGGATTGTTAACATTTAGATATGACAACTACAAAAAAAATGCTTATTATCTACGGGTAAAATCCGTAGGTAATGTCACTTTACCTACTGGATTTCTTTCCGTAGAAAATCCAGTAGGTAATTTGGTCGTAGGTAATTACCTACGGATTTATAATCCCTCCCTTATTTTTTATTATTACCTAGAACCCCTCCCCTTTATATTATATTTTTATTATTTATTATATTTTTGAAACTTTGAATTATTATTAGATTAAGGAAATTGTCATTGGCAGGATTCGAACCCAGCACTCGAGTTGGAGGTCGATACTCCAACCACTAAGCTATTAGGTTATTTTGAAAATAATTTATAAATAAATTATATTTATATTTATCCAGTGTAAATATATAAATATAAAATATATATAAATATAAAAAATATATATAAATATAAAATATATAAATATAAAATATATATAAATATAAAATATATTTATATTTTGATATATTTATATATTTATATATTTATATATTTATACATTTATATATTTATATATTTTTATTTATATATTTATATATTTATACATTTATATATTTATTATTTATATATTTATACATTTATATATTTTTATTTATATATTTATATATTTATATATTTATATATTTATATATTTATATATTTATATATTTATATATTTATATATTTATATATTTATATATTTATATATTTATATATTTATATATTTATATATTTATATATTTATATATTTATATATTTATATATTTATATATTTATATATTTATATATTTATATATTTATATATTTATATATTTATATATTTATATTTATATATTTATGTATTTATATATTTATATATTTATATATTTATATATTTATATATTTATATATTTATGTATTTATGTATTTATGTATTTATGTATTTATGTATTTATGTATTTATGTATTTATGTATTTATATATTTATATATTTATATATTTATGTATTTATATATTTATATATTTATATATTTAAATATTTAAATATTTAAATATTTATATATTTAAATATTTAAATATTTAAATATTTATATATTTATATATTTATATATTTAAATATTTATATATTTATATATTTATATATTTAAATATTTATATATTTAAATATTTAAATATTTAAATATTTATATATTTAAATATTTAAATATTTATATATTTAAATATTTAAATATTTAAATATTTATATATTTATATATTTATGTATTTATGTATTTATGTATTTATGTATTTGTATATTTGTATATTTATATATTTATATATTTATATATTTATATATTTATATTTTTAGTTAATATAATTTATCTACGGATAGTAATTCAGTAGGTAATTACCTACGGAATTACCCATGGATGATATTACCTACGAAAAATATCCGTAGGTAATGGATAATTGCTCACGGATAGAATTCAGTAGGTAATGTACAATTTACCTACGGATTTTCATCCGTGGGTAATATCCGTAGGTAATATCCAGTAGGTAATGGATAATTACCTACGGATAGAATTCCGTAGGTAATATCCGTAGGTAATGTACAATTTACATACGGATTTTCATCCGTGGGTAATATCCGTAGGTAATGTAAAATTTACCTACGGATTTTTATCTATGGGTAATATCCGTAGGTAATGTAAAATTTACCTACGGATTTGTATCCGTAGGTAATATTCCGTAGGTAATAGACTTTTTTTTGTAGTGGACGATGTAGGAATTAATCTCACACGTAGAATAATTCATTATAAAAAAAATAATTTTGAGTTCATTTCGATATTAATTTCCATATTTTAATAACTTATCAAAAGTCATTGATTTAAATATTATTATTTAAATAAATATTGTAAGTCATTAGGCATACATATATATATTTAAAAAAAGTTTGTAAAAACAAAGTACTAGGTTTGATTAATTAAAGTCTGAAACAATACTCACGTGTAATTATTATAATTAAAAAATAGGGTTAAATTACTTTTTTATTTAATTTATAAGTTTCATGTGTTATTTTGGAACATTAATTTCAGCAAATTGATGTGATATCCAAATTAAATTAATACATTGAAATTTTAAAAAATAATTTCACCTTTAAATAAATTAAATTTACACCAATATGTTGTATATTGAATAAATATATGTAGAAAATATAAAATAATTAATTTCGATAAATCTGAAGAAGTTGACGTGTAAAAAATATTAATATTGCACCATTAAACAAATAAACAACGTATTAATTTTTTATAAACAATAATTCAAAAATTATTATTCGTGAGATAATATGCATTAATTTAATATAGAGACAAGTAAATTGGTTTCTAGAATATCAGTGGAAGAATATATTGACTTTTTGTTTAATTTAGAGATAAAATAAGTCACAAAATATTATATTAACCTACTAACGATATGATTACAGACAAATAAAAAAAGGAGATAATGTTGGGTGAGATTGTCGGAGAAAAATAATTAAGCAAAAATTCGTGAATGCGATTTACCAAGATCAGTATTTTACTTTTCTAATTATTGATAATAATATTTTAAAAAATAGAGCACATTTTTATTTAAGATAAGAAAGAAGAATTACTTTTATAATTATTGATTAAAAAATTAAAGTAGACAAAATCAAATTGACTTTTTATTGAAGAATATATTATTTGAACTTTTGAATCCTTGAGAAGTTAACGTATTAGTAACAACACAACAACATATAAGAATATAATCTAACCCTTTATTTGGTAGCAGAAAATAGAAAATTAATTATTCTACGTACCAGAAAGATTAATTATAATTTCATTAATTAATAAAATTTTTGGCGGATTTGGTTCCATTCCATTTCTTATTTTATGCTCCATTTTCTTGTACAAAGACTTCACCATCGAATATTCTTCCACGAATTCACTTTTTTTGGTGATGTTGTAAGTAAATAATTAATGACCCCAAAATTAACTTTTCTCAAGCTATCATCTTCTTCTCATCAACAAAAAATGTAGTAAAAAGGAAAAAAAAGTTATACGCGATAATGAATAAAAGAAAAAAGAAAACGATTTTTTAAAACAAGGTTGAATGGAAATCTTGTAACTATTAAAAAAATAGCAATGTTAAATAACTTCTTGGAATATAACTTCTAAATACCCAAAATTAATGTAATAATAATAATAATAATTATTATTATTATTATTATTATTATTATTATTATTATTATTATTATTATTATTATTATTATTATTATTATTATCTGTCTCTAAAATTTTGAGATTTCCAAATAGGAAAGTATAAACAGAGTTGAATATGTTAAAGTAATAGGAGAGGTGGCCCAAAAAATATTTGTTACATCATGAATGCTGTTGAAAGAGTAATGTGCCCTAAACAATTCTCGTTAAAAATGCTATTAAGATAACTTAAACTCAAGTCCTTTTTATAAATTCGTTAAGACAAAGGACTTTTTTCTATCTTAAATTTAAGATACATAGACATGCAAGGGAGGAAAGAGATTAACGCAATACTTCATTAAATAAGTATAATCTAACACAGATTTTCATGGCGAAAAATAGAAGGAAAGATTTATTTTAAAAATAATTAGTTTAACTTAAATATTTATAGCAAAGAAAAGGATTTGAACTTTTTATCTTGCATTTTGAGTTCCTCAACGTTAAAAGAAACTGAAAGTTTGACAAGGTTTTAATATGATTAGACTAAATTATCCTTGATTAAAAAAATCATTTTATCTTTCCTTCACTACAATTGTAAACAGTGCATGCTGTATTTAATACTTCCCATTAGGAAATAAATTAATGAAAAAGAAATAAATTAGAATGAATCAAAAAATGTTTTTTTGATGTAAAATAAAGTAAAAATAGAATAAAAATGAATAGACAGAGGAGTTTGATGTGAAAAAATAAAAAATAAAAAATAATATCTTTCATGAAATTAACCTATTAAGGCAAATATGACATTTTAAGTAAACTTTTTGGATCGTCATATATGAAATTTACCATTTATTCGCAAAATTAGTCATAACAATAGGATCCACGTATTTCATCCAAACTCAACCAAACAATGTATTGACGCAACAAGACGCTGATGTAGTTCATAATTCCCATAAATAGAGCACGAGAATTTCGCCATGTCTCTCTCTTTTTGGGATCAAGGACCGACATTGGCATAATTCGGAAACCAAACGAACCAATCTGGCTAGATCGCTTGCACCGAAAGATAAATAAAACACAATCTCACCAAAATTTATTCACTCGAATAAAAATTTGCTTTCAACATTTTCCGGAAACGGATGGAATTTTGTGGTACAACTAAAAAGATCACAACACAATTGAAGAAGCAATTAACCAAGAGAAACAAATGCATGAACAAATATCAAGAAACAGGGAAGCTCCCTTCCAAATTACATATTCAACCCTATACAAGATATCCTATGTTACAGAATGTGCATTCAATATATATATTTGAGTAAAAATATGGTTAAATTCTAAACCCCAAACCAGGCCACCTCTTTGTTCCCTCCTTCTTTGTCCTCTTTGAACTGGGATCAATTAGGTTTTCCAGAGATTTTGCTTTTCTATCCCGTGTCTTTCCTGCTTCTTTCAGAAGCTCAGCCAAACGACGCTTCTCATCTTCAAAATCTGGATTTGCTATTCCAAGCTTTTCCTCTCTCAACTTAAGGACATATTCTAAGATTTCAATCGCATCTCCCACTCTGAAGCATGCCATCATAGCAGGTTTAAAGTTAAATATGTCATGTTCAACATCAATGAAAATAGAATCTTAATAACAGAGTATCGGACATATATAATGAGGAATCCCTACAAAGAATATTCAGACCAATGGGGAACCTCATGCTGGAAACAGAAAGGTTAGGGCCAGAGCTAGAAAATATTTATTAGGGAAGCCAAAGTATAAGATCAATGGATGTCCAAAAGAATGAAGAAATAACAATATTAATGTTCTCCTAGCTTGCCAAAAACTTTTGGGGTGCAGTATTTACAATCAAGTTGAATTCAACACAGCTAAGGCAAAACGGTTTCAATCATGCAGCCCAACATTTAACTAATACGATTAATGGAATCAGGGGACAAGGCAAACTATGACTAAATGAGTAAAAAATAACCAAGGATGACGAGAAAAGAATTTTACCTTCCCATAGCATCATATGTAGCTGCAAGATTGCTGTACACCCCAAGTGTATCTTGATGACACGGGCCACACTCCTGTTCAAGAATTCCCCTAGCTTCTTCAAACAATTCAGCAGCCTCATCTATCTTGAACAGTTGAACACAAGCCAACCCCATCTGGTTCAGAACAACTCCAAAGAAGGCACTCTTCCTCTCCCCACTAGCCCTGAGTTTCGCAACAGCACTCTCAAAGGAGTTCCTCGAGTCCTCATACCTCCCAATCATGTAATACATCACACCCATCCGTGCCTCAATCCCCGCAATAGTGCTCTGCTGCCCCGGCTTATCTTCCAACAACTTCATTGCCCTGCTTAACAGCTTCAGCGCCTCCTCAGGCTCATCCACAGATTCAAAAACAGCCGAAACCTCTGTCAAGCCACCTGCAATCTCCTCTGCAGTGGTTCCGGGCACCGGCTTTGAGTAAATCCTGAGTGCATTCTCGCAGTATGATTTTGACTCCCGAAGCTTCCCAGTCCTGTGGTACAAATCAGCCAGCCGCACAAAAACAGACGCAACAGAAGGGTGGTTCTCACCCTTGGCAGACTTAAACACAGTAAGTGCCTTCTGATACGAGAAAATTGCCTCATCAAAACGACAAAGTGACATGTAAATGTTCCCAATGCTAACATCAATCGATGCAACCTCATTATCCTGACCATTTGCAATCATAGCCATGCTAGCAAGCACAAGATGCTCCAATGCCGACTCGTAATCTCCCTTTGCCTCACAAATCAGCGCCATAAGCCTCCTATCGGCAGCTTCCTCAAGTGAAGCCGGTTCACTATGCACGCGATGAATCTCCAGAGTTTTCTTACACAGCTCCTCCGCTTTATCAAACTGCATCGCTTGCACATTCGCCTCCGCCAAGTATCTACCACGCACAACACCATTTTAAAAAGAGTGGTTTGTTCATACAACAATTTAAGTAACACCACTATTTTCTCCCAATCTTTCACCATTACTTCATTAATTAGTTACACAGATACTTCTCTATCTTTGTTGTTCAAAATTACAAATAGCACTTCTCATTCAAAATCACAATTATCAAATTACAATTAAGACAAAACTTAGATGTAGTTCTATAGATGTTTCTATTTTTATTCTTCAATTAGAATTAGAATTTCACCACAGTAAACTGTATTTGTATATATTTAATGTTCTCGATTAGAATTAGAGTTTCGCTTCAAAAGCCTGAATATGAATTTTTAATATTGTTCCTTATCAGGATTACAGTTTCGCCTCATTAATTCGTATTGACATTAAATGAAACATTTCATTATTATACTCAGGTGAATCTCCTTGACCTGCATCCAGGTTTTGCACAAATAATTACGAATCAAACAAAACAAATTAACATGACAAACCGAAACCGTACCGGCAAGTTTCACCGACGCGGGGATCGGTGTCGCCCAGGGCTTGGATCTGGATCTGGAGGCCCTGGTCATAGCAGGAGATGGATCGGTCAACCTGGCCAAGCATGGAGAAGGTGTCGCCGAGCTGCATGTAGCCGGAGAAGGCAGCGAGGGCATGATCGGCGCCACGCGCGACGTCGGGGACCTGGATGGCGCGTTCGAGGACGGGGACGGCTTCCTCGAAGCGGGCGAGGCTGCAGTAGATGGCGGCGAGGACGTGAAGGCTCATGGCGAGGTCGAGGCTGGGCTCGCCCTCGACGGCGCAGCGCTCGAAGGACTTGGAGGCTCGGATGGCGAAGTCGAGGGCCTTGGCTGGCCCGTCGCCCGAGGCTATGGTGTCGCGGGCAAGTTTAAGTAGGAAGGGCCCGAGATCGGGATTGTCGAGAGACGCATCGGAGAGAACCGGGTTTGGAGGGGTTTCGGGGGTTTTTTTCTTGGCCGAACGAGACGGCGATGGAGATGGTGGTTTTCTTGGGAGTGGAGACGGGGTTTTTGTGTTACTGTTGTTGGCTTCGGATCTCTGCGTCGGAGTGTTTGGTACGGAGATTCGGAGCGGTTGAGCTTCGGGTGGGGTTTTCACCGAAACAAGACCCGGCATGGTGTGTGAGAGAGAAAGAGAGAGAGAGAGAGAGAAGTGTGATTGTTGAGTGTTGTTTGGGTGTTTGGAGGGTGAAATTTGTATTGATCGGGGGAAGGATAAGAACTTGGCACCACTCTCAACTATAATTGAGGAAAGTGGTGTGGAGAAGAAGGTTTGTTTGTTTGGGTTCGGATTTGGATTTGGATTTGTGTTTGATATTGTGCACAGATCAAATGTCTCTTCTATCTTCTCTTTTATCAAACTCAATGTGCGTGTGTGAGCTGTGATGGAGGTTTCATTCTTTTCGCTTTCGTTCCTCTCTTCTTCTTCTTCATCTTTCTCTCGGGTTAGTATCGTAATTCAATATCTCTCCGCCTTTACTTTAACTGCAACATGTTCTCATCTCCAGTTTTAAGTTTTTAACTTTTTACGTTAATGTAGAAGAACATCGAACAATTTTTTTTGTTATTATTCGAAAAAAAACTTTTATTCCTTTTTTAAAATAATATTAAATTGAATTTTTAGTTATCTAATATCCACATTTATTTAATGTATTCAATATAGCATCAGTTTTGATTGATAAACTGTTCATAGACATTTATTAATTTTATCTAACATCAAATCAAATATACAAAATCACAGTTGAATTCCGAACATGCATGTTAAGATATAAAAAAAATATAACATATTTATATCAAAATATTTTAAAAATATCAAATTTTTAGTAACGTGTTTTTTATTTATTTAAAAATAACATTTTATGTCTTGTTTAGGTTATAGAAAAAAAGTGGAAAGAATGAAAAATAATTGAAAATAATATGACTAGCTTATTTAATATGATTTTTTTATTAAAGTTATAATTTTTTTCTTATTCTTCTTCTTATATATATATATATATATATATATATATATATATATATATATATATATATATATAAAAGAGTATATAAAATGTAAGAATTTTTTTTTCTCTCAAACTGGAGAAAAACCAAAATATATGGTCCCATATAATCTTTATTCTCTTCATCCATTTTATGAGTCAAACAAGAAAAAGAACATATTGTTCATCAATTCTTTTCCCTTTTTATCCTTCTTCTCATTTTCACATGTTCCAAACTATGGTGTTATTCCTAAAAGTGTTATAATGACATTCCCATTAAGTCAAATAAGGTCGTAAATAAAAAACACCAGCCGAATGAGAAAAATTAGGAAAGAGGAATAAAAGTGGGAGAATTTGGGACCATGGACATTTATTTTGTAATATATTTTTTAGTTATTTTTAGTCTAAAATAACTTTAATTACTATAAAACATATTTTTTTATTAAAAATATCATAATAAAAGTTTGGTGCTTTGGTTGAATTGATTATTAAAATTTAACAAAAAAAAATATAGCTTATTTATTTCTCTTAATTTTATTTTTCTTTACAAAGATATGTAATTTTTTTTATATTTTTCTATTTTTATATATCCTAGGCCTTATCTTTTATCGATTATTAATATAAAGAAAGTTACACTAATATATTACGTAGACTAATAGCCAAATAACTTTATTATTATATATAATATTTCATCTCATGTTTGTAGGTAAGAAAAAAAATTTCTAAAAATAGGTGTTATTATATATATATTTTTTTTTCTTTTTGCAGTTATTATTATTATTATTATTATATATAACTTATTAGTAAAGTTATTAAACTTATCAAATATTATCCATTTCAATAAACTATTTCTATTTATTAGTACTCTGAGCTGGTATATGCACATAATGGAATAGTAAATTTGGTGTTTTTACTCAACAATTTGTAGTATGGATAAAGTAAAAACCAACGTTTGTAGCAGTTGCAATAATAGAATTTGCAGAAAGCCATATATGTTCTGACAATTTACATGATGAAGTTGGTGAAACAATTATTGACCTATTTATTCCTTCCTCTGCCTTGTGTTCATGCATTTATGCTCAGAACCTTCACTATTTTGCCTGAACTCTGAGAGAGACTTCAGTTAAGGAAGCATGGCTATAATGCTAGTGCACGTCTTGTTCTGAATTTTGTGCCAAGCACTTCCATTGGAGGAGAATCATAAGGGCCATTTGAAAATTTGATTCAGATATTATCCCAAAGTCAACTGAATGAACTAGATTAATGATTAGTTAGCTTGATTTTAGTTTCTATCACTCTTTTCCTCCCTCTACCTGCTAAATAAAGCTAAAGAGGGTGGTTAATTAATTATATGCACATTATTTTTGGTAGTTAGATATTAGATTTTGGTTTTTCTCTTTCTGCTTCTTCACAGAATCAATTAAGATCTGTTTGGCATCTACCCTTGACTTTATATATGGTTAACACCCTTTCTTTTAGTTAGTGGGGTTTGATCCTTATACACAGTAATCAGCAGTAGATTAAAAGGCAAAGAAACATCAACAATTGTGGTTCAACTAATGATATCATTGTAGATGAACTCTTTAGGTTGGACTGTCAAATATCAGTTATTTATAATATCTGTCAGTATTACTATATACATATAAAAGCAACTTTTATTGCTGCAAAACATGCATATTCATATTAAAACTGGATTTCAATTAATTATAATTACTAGTAATCTCATTCACAAGTTTTTTATTTTAGCTTGCATTTGGCTACAGGTGCATAAATGCTATTTATTGCAGAGTTGCAGATCTTATGGGGTATTCTGAGAGTCTCATTCTCATTCACAGTCACTGAATTGGTTCAAATTTTACCAACTTTCTGGTTTTTCAGCTCACCAAAAGACTCTCTATGCATTTAAGTTTCTTAAGTCCATCCCAAATATCTAGACTAGGATCTTATTATGCATTTTAAGTTTCCCATTCACACTCAATTACACTACCAAATTTCATACTGTAACTGAGGGTGTCACGTAATAACTTATATTTTTCAGAATTCAGAAAAAGTTAATGGAATGAACGTTGAAAGCAGAAAATTGAGATGGAGAGAACATTGAGGGTCACATCAGTGAAACCACTGCACTAGCTATGAAGTTGACTTCCTATCTTTGCGCCAATTCTATAGCCATCATCATTTCATTTTTCAAGAAAAGGCAAGTACAAGATTAATTATTAGTTAAGTATGGTATATCTACCCATCTATTCCATATTATATCAATTTTTTATTTAATGCGCTTAATTTAATCTTTTACTCTCTCTCTCTCTCTCTCTCTCTCTCTCTCTCTCTCTCATATATATATATATATATATATATATATATATATATCAATCTATTATCTAATAATATTAATAATGAAAGATACACTTTTTATTCTAATTTTTCATTTTTTATATTATAATAATTAAAATAAATTATTGTTTTAAATCTCTCCTCTTATATATATATATATATATATATATATATCAATAATAATAATAATAGTACATAATCAATATCCACAAAATAATTAATACTATTTTTTAAATAAATTATGTTCTATGTGTTTCTATGATGAAATTTATTTTAAAAAAGACTTAATTTTTAATTTTTATTATTTTTAGCATGTGTTATGAAATCACCTTTGAATCAAAATATTCGCATGTATTTATTAAAAATTTGTTTAGATGAAAGGATGAGAGATAAAAGCATGGAAAAGAAAAAAAATGAAATTGTTTAAATTAAGTGAAAAAATGAAAATAAATAAGTTTATTGATTATTAATGGTTTTTATGTATTACTTTAATATATTTAAAATTATTTGTTATTATAATTATAAATAATTTGCATACACATATTTGATGAAGCCAATATATTATTTTTGCTAATAAAAATAATAAATTATCAGTAATTAAGAAAATCCAATAAAATTCACCAAATTATTTTAAACATCATCTTATTTATTATCACCACATATTTTTCATTATATTTATATTTTCTCTCATTTTAGGTGTTAAATATCATTTGAAATGTTACATTTTTATTGTCCTTGAAATTAACTCTTATATCTCATTCACTACGTCAGGATCTCTAAAGGATCATATTGGATCTAAATTATGAGACAAAAGTATAATATTAATTTGATATTTAATTATATTCTTAATCTTTAAATAATTTTGGTTTTGATTTCCTAAATTTTTAAAAAATAATCCTTTAAAATTGAAAAAACAAACTAAACATTAAAATAATCCTTTAACATTTTATGTACATGATTCAAAGTTTTAGATATAGTATTAATGTTTTAAAATTTAGATTTGTGAAGATTTAGGTTTTAAAACAATGTTGAATTTCTCAAATATAGAATTTAAAGATTTTTTTCTTTCAATTTACAGAACTAAAAAAAATAAATTTTAATAGATCGAAATCAAAACTATATTAAATTTAAGTGAGTAAAAATATTTTTAAATCTTAATTTTATAGCAGTGACTTAAAAATTAAGAATTTTCATATAAAAAATAAGTCATAAATGAATGCAAACAATTAGAATCAAGTAAATAATTTAACCCAATACTTTTAAACATGTCATTGATCAAAACACATTGGTAGTTACCAATTACAGTATATGTTGTTGATAAAATTACACATATATCCACTAATAAAATTACAAAAATATATTGAAGAGAACAAATAGTGATGGAGAAAGTGTTAAAGGATTTATTGAAAAATTGAAACTATCATAAGTGAATAAAAAGTAAAGGGTAAATTTAACGTGAGAAGTTGGAATTTGTACATCAAATATACATATTGTAAATGTTTAGAACGTCTCTATTTTTAACAAGAGTTGTTTAGGAATAAAATTAAATATTTTATTATGAGTCTCATAATTAAGTTGGTTAAAACTTGGTATGAATTTTTTATACAAATAACTTTCTTCCAATTTAAAACAATTTTCTTTATTTTTAAACAACTCATATGTAGGATCCACAATAAAATATTAATTACTTTTATTTTACTCTTGGTAATAACTCCTTTGGAGATGTTCTTAGAAAATACTCCAAGGAACATGTTATCAAAAAAAAGGTTAAAGAATAATTGGAGAAATAAATTGATGTGGTGTG